CCAGCCCAGCGCCCTGCGGCCGAGCAGCCGGAGGGACAGGGCCCCATTCCAAGCGTCCACCTTCCCATCCAGCCCATCCTGTGCAATAAATGTCAGCAGCTGACAGAGCTACGCACGACTCCGGCTCTGCTTCTTCGCCACCGCCCCTCCCTGCCGCGGCTCCGGCTGCTCCCGCTCCTCGTCCCTGACCCAGGGAGCCTGAGCACTGGGCACAGTCCCAGTGTGGGCTGTGGGATGCAGCTTTGTCCTTTGAAGAGCTGACTCCCTGCCAGAAAAGCGACGAGGTGAAAAGCCTCCTCCCAGCAGCCTTCCCCTCGCTCCAGCAGCAGCCAGGAAGAAGCTGGGAGCAGGCTGGGACAGGAGACTGTGGGTACAGGGTGCAGCCAAGAACTGGACCAAACACAGCTGCAGCTGCAAGATGCCAACCATCTCCAGCACCAGCCCAGTGGAGAGGAGGGCTGGGAGGTCACAGTCTGGGGAGACGGGAGGCTCCTGGCTGGAAAGGCTGCAGTTGGACCCCGTGAAAGCCCCACTCCCTCTGTAGCTACACTGGCAGAGTTCTGTGTTTCTGCTACAAAAGCATTTTCAGAATGTGATGCTCCTGTGAGCAACTGAAGCCCAACCAGGCAGCAGAACAGGACCAGGCTGGGGAGGCAGCAGTCCCATCTCCCCACACCCCCTGGAAGGTGAGGAGAGAGCCCAGGCACCCTGCAGCCTTCAGGGAAAGATGCCAAGGAGCACACAGGTCCCATCTCATATTTCAAAAAACATTTTATTTACAGTATTGTACATGTTGACCCCTGAATTAGTGGTTTCCCCTGTTTGAGCCCCAGTGAGCAGCAGCAAAACCTCGCCCTGGAAATGGGAGTCAGGAGCTGCAGAGGTTGTGGTACAGAGAGTGGGGACAGTGCCCAGAGCTGGAGCAGGGCACAGAGCAGCACCCTGAGAGCAGGGCCAGGGCTCCTGCTGTGCCCAGAGTGGCTGCCTGTCCCTCCAGGTCCAAGCTCCACTGGTGGAGAGGAACAGCACCCCAGGACAGGCAACAGCCCAGCAAAGGCTGGGGCTCACAGTGAAGGTGAAGTTTGAGGGGAGCCAGCCCTGTCTACTGTCGCCCCTTTGGCTCCACCCCAGCTCAGGGCTGGGTGCCCTCTCCAGGTGCTGGGACACAGGCAGAGATGGCAAACTGCAGAGCTTGGCCCCCACTGGGTGCTCCTGCAGAGTCCCAGGGTGCCCCAGCACCTCACTGTGGGGCAGGTCTCTTGCTGGGCTGGCAGCTGCACCCCCTTCCCCGTGAGATGGGGGACAGGCCTGGCACCCACCGCAGCCAGAGGTCCAGAGGTAGCTCAGGGCTCTGCAGGCAGCCATGGCTCAGCTGAAGAAATAGGTGGAATCCATCACCTGCTCGAGGTTGAATTCACCTGGGGGGAGTGAGGAAGAGGAGAGGTCAGAAAGCAGGGTAGGGATGGGCAAGGGGGACAGAAGCAGCCTCAGGGTATGAAGGATCCCAGCCCCTGAACCGTGCTGCCCATGGAGCACTGGAGCACTCTGCACAGAGGTCAGGCAGAGCCAGATGGCCTGGCAGACACAGGGCTGAGGGATTAGAAGGAGTTAAACTAATTGCCTTAATCCCATTGCATGTATATCATCTAGATCTTGGCAATTACTCTGCTGAGTCCCTCAGTCCCATCTCCCAGCAAATGCTCATGGTTGGAAACAGATGGGAGCAGAACAAGAGCGGGATGGGATGAGCTGGGTCAGCCTGGGGGAAATTCCCTGGGGGCTCAGTGGTAGGGGATGCTCCAGGGGAATGTGTCCAGGCTCTGTCCCATGGCTCTGCAGTCCAGCACAGGAGGGAACACCCGATCCTAGGGGACAGCTCTGGCTTTTTGTCTTTTGGGGGCCACTCCATCTCATTTCCCTTGTCTCCAAACCACTCCTGAGCTCTGCAGTTCCTATCCCATGCTCCTACCTGTCTTGGGGACGTTTGACAGCTGCTCCATTAGTTTCTTCTGCCAACTGGCTATGGTCTCTGTCTTGGGGCTGGATGAACCAGAAGAAAGCAAATCAACACGGGAGCTCTGGGAGAAGGCACACCCTCCTCTGCCCCCCAGTGCAGCCCCTGACAACAGGATTCAGCTCTTCCAAAACAGACCATGCACCCTCGAGTGGGAGCAGGAGCCCAGCCCTGGCCACAGCAGCCCAGGGCAGGCCCTAAGGCTGCCAAACCCTCCCTCAGTTCTGCAGCAAGAGGGTGCAGAGCCCTTATTTTTCACACTGAGGTTGAAGGCAATTTGGGTGTCAGGCAAGAAGGAAGGAGAGGTTCTACCCAGAGCAACCCCCAGGCAGGTGACACAACCTGTCAGCACCTGGACACAATCTGGGAGAGGGAACTGGTGCAGGCAGGAAGGAGCATGGTGGGGGAAACCAATAGGCCAGGAATACCTGCAGTATTTCTCCAGCATAAACTCAGACAGATCCTGCAAGATCTTCTCGCTGTGCAGAGCCACAAACTGCTGCCGACAGATCTGGCCCAGGGAGACAGGGTGAGGTGCAGGTTAGGAGGCATTTTCCCTCCTTCCCCCCAAGTGGCAGGTTAGAGTTGAGGGGCAGGGGAAGCAGCAGGAGTGGGAAGGAGGTGCTGCCAGACAAGGGTGCAGGAATCAGCCTGGGGAGGTGGGAAGCAGAGGCCGATCCCCACAGGCACAACAGCACTCACAGCACTGCAGAGGGAAGTGCCCAGGGCAGGCCAAGGGCACCAGCTCTGCCAGGGCTGTGTTCAGTGCCCATTTACACACACAGATTCTGCCACACACTCCCTGCAGGATGGGAGGGGATGGGGCACCAGCAAATCAGCTGCGACTGCCAGCAAGCATCCCAGGTTCACTTCACCCGGGTGAATCAGTCAGCCTATGGAGCAAAGCCCAGGGGAGGCGAGGCCTGGCACGGGCCCAGAGCACAGATCAGCCAGATCTTGCTCACAAGGGACCCTGGAGGACACTTACCTGGTTCATGATGTCCACAGTGAGTGCATGAGTCCAGTAGCAATCGTGGACCGAGACGAAGGCCAGACCCTGCCTGGGAGGGGGCAAAGGTGCCATGAAGTGGTGCTGAGAGCCCCTCTGTGTGATGACCCCCACCCCATGGAGACCTTCTGGCTGGGACAGGAGCACAGGCCATATAAGGAGGGGGACTCCCTGCATGGCCCCTGCAGGTCTTCAGAGATCCCAGGATCTCCCTGTGCCACTGCCTCCCCTCACCCCTTCTCTGCCAGGAACCCCAAACTCCCACCCACCAGGGAATCCTTGGTCCCACACGGCGCCTTGCCCAGTGACACTCTCACAGAAGAGTCCTGAGCCAGGGAAGAGCCAGGTGAGAGCCCAGTTGCCCACTCCTACCTGAAGCAGTGCAGAGCTGTGAGCATCATGTGTGTGGAGTCCAGGGAGTGGATGAAGTTGGGGGGGAAGGCGTTCTTCTGCTTCACAGTATCAGGCTTCCTGCGGCACAGTGGGACATGGAGGAGCTGGGGCACTTCAGAGCCAAAGATGAGAGTGCCAGCACAGAGGCAGTGCCACCCCAGCCCAGGGTTGAGGGGGCTGCCCTGGAGGGCCCCAGGGCCTTGCTCCTCTGTCCAGCTCTCTGCAGCTCAGGGGGATAACAGGAGCTCTGGCACTCCTTGACAGCTTCCCTGATGGGAAGGCCTTGTCCCCAGAGCACAGGCTGGGGTCAGCAGGGGCACACTGTACTTTCGTACTTACTGGCTGCTGCTGGGGGTTCTCACACTCAAGTTCTGCATGCCACAATTCAGCTGTGAGTGGAGAGAGGGGACCAGTTATTACCCTGCACTGCCCGCAGCACAGGGGGCTGGGCACTGCCCCACTCTTCTGGAGAGGACTGTGCCTTTTCAGGGTGTCCCAGCGCCGTGGCAGCTGCCACTCCTCAGTGACACCCTGCCCAGCTCCCCTCCTGAGGATGCTGGCAGGCATCCCTGCACCCCTTCCCCGTGACAGCCCTCGCAGGGTGAATCAGCCCGAGAGGGGCTGCTGGAGGTGAGCAGCACAGGGATGAGCCGGGACGGGGGACGTGAGTCAGCGGCGCGTGGGAGGTGACAGAGCGAGACTGAGTCACGCGAGCCCCGAGGAGGCTCCTCGGAGCGGGGAACGGCCCGTGCCCCAGCTGCCTGAGTGGGACAGAGCAGAAGAGCTTCCTCACCAGCCCACCCACATCCTCCAGGCTCTGCAGGGAGCGATGAGGCTGGAGGATGTGCCTGCACACACGGATCC